AGCCATTCTGCAATTTCCTTAGTACTAGGGACATATGTAACTAGATTCCGCCCTTCATTGTGAAAAAGACCCCTCTTCGGCTCATTGCCGAGCATCGGCATCCCAATCCATCCATTCTCATATATGCGAACTAACCTTTTCTTAATTTTGACCGGAAGAGAGTCACTGTTTTGGCCAAAAAAAAATGGTAACAGCATTGTGAGAGAGCCATTCCCTCTGAGCTCGAAAAATAGGTGAGTCTATCTTAACCCTAACACAGTCATCATACCTTTCAACCCTATCATYGTCATAAGGAATCAAATCCGAAGATAGAACCCCAGATCGGTAGCACTCTTCGATAACTYGGAGAGTCCTCTCCTTCTCTCTATCCTGCGGGGAGATTGGATGATTGTCGCCTTCCATCCTGTGAGTTTGAAGCGGGGTTGACCCCACCGTGTCATACAATCATGAAGTGGGCAGAATCTGGCCACTATCCAAATGGCACAGACAAACGAATACTAGACCAGAGAATTAACCGCCCTCGAGCTAAATGATCTCTACAGGCAGGCCCTCAATCTCCCTGTAAAACAGCACGTCCAGATTAATTCACTTGAGACAAGAAGGAAGGGAGGCAATTATTTGATGATCGAAACCATCCATATACCAAAAGTCGAGGTGAGTACTAACGCCAACTCCCTGGTCAGAGTCAACTTCTCAATATTCCCAAACACATCCTCACAATCCTTTCCTCGAAAATTCACCAATCGTTAAAAAAAACACCCTTCCCCCTGTAAACATACACCGCAAGAGATTCAGGGAAGGATGAGAATTGCCTCCCAATCTTGTACATGTCCAATCCGGTCGTCACACAGGAGATGTTTCGGCCACAAGTTCCACCATTCGGACGGCGCCGATTGGGAATAACGTCCTCTTCGTACGTTCGAAGCCGCACCCCGAAACTTCTGGCCGCTCCCTAATGTCAAACTTTTCCCAGTTCAATACAGATGTCGAAAGAGGAGCCCGACTCCTCGAAACGGGCGAAGAGCGGTCGACTCCCCATATGCCAACGGTTTGAAGTCTTACTTAGTCTAGGGATTCGAGCGACTTATAGGGCAGACTGGTTTAACAGATTCAATCAGGGCTGCTGGAAAGGTCTCCCAGCCGAGTGCAAGGCACTCCCCTATCCACTCAAGGAGAGGGTTGGCTGGGGCCCCATAAAGAACAGACACTCACACCATCCAACAGGACGGGCGACAGCTGACCAGAAGACTTGGAGACTTGGAGTAACCCGTCGACCCGCTCACCTCACCAACACCTTATTCCGCCCACTCGGAAGTCTGTCAGGTGGGTACTAACTAGGGTTACCTGGCGATGGCGCCGACCTCCATCGCGCCGAACTCGCCGCGTCAAGAGCGGCCGTCGCCTGGTTCCCAAAATTAGCGCTCCACCGGATAGCGCAGCCGACGGCGGGCGGCGAGCGAGGCCCCCTCCGTTCCCACTTCCTTTACATAGAAGTTTGAAAGTTTTGACTCCTTTTTTTTTTGGCCTCTCAAAGTCTTACACTGGGAGCATTACCCATCTTCCCGTATTTACCATTAATACATCCTTTTTTTTTCTTTTTTTTTAATAATACATCTTTGGCTTAGCTCTGCAATCCAAAGTCCCCATCTTCACGTATTTACCATTAATACATCCTTCTTTTCTTTTCTTTTTTTAATAATACATATTTGGCTTAGCTCGGCAATCCAAAGTCCAGTTAGTTGTCAAAAAAAAAAAAAAAAAAAAAGAAAAAAAAAAAAAAAAGAAAAAGAAAAAAGAAAGTCCAGTTAGTGAGCCACCCCCTTCATAGAGAGACCTGATGGTGTAAGTTTTGTAATTCGTCCTCGTGGAATACAACCAATGAGTTAGGGCATACTCACACTAGCAATTTTTTTAAGTCGGACTTCCTCTTCTGTGATGACTTCTGCCAATTGATCACCTTTTGCACATCGTCTTCATAAATATTAAACCGTTGAAGACATTTCCTTCCCCCTCTTTGTCTGTGTTGCCATGAAATGTCTTGACTTCCCCCGGGCATTTGGAATAGACATGGTGGAGGGAACAATCCCTCCGAGTATTCTTCCATAGTTCTTTGCTACCCAGATTGCCTCCAGCAGCACTCCCTGGCATACCTGTGTCACATATCCCCACCCCCCGTAACAAATCTGCATTCACCGGCGTAAATCCTGTCGACTCGAAATCCAATCATCATCCCACTGCATTTCATCTTTGGTAGACCTCTTCCTGTTCTCCTTTCACCACTCTCACAGCTGACCCCAATATGGGCACTGGGCAGTAAATAGGGGGGTGAGCAGTGGACTCCAACCCCCATAGACACCTGAGGGGGGTAGCAAGAATCTGCATGCCTCTGCCTCTGGACTGTAGCCACAGAGCCGAGGCAGGCAGGTGGAAAGTTGGCAACCCATAGTTTCCCAGGCATGGAAGAGTCACTATTTTGGAGAGTAGGCCTGATTGTTTTTTT